TGTAAGCCATGTGGAATTACATTGGTTTAGAATGAATTTTATTGCTGTCATAAGAGCATTTGTCTAGGAATTGTACAGAATTACCAGTTACGCCTTGTTTAGTAACATTTTTATCTGGTCCAGGGCAAGGGTCTCTAAACTTGGCAACTTTAAGAGTTGTAGATTTGTAGATTTCTAGACATGCTGGGTGGAAAATTCTGGGCATTGACATCCACAAGTCTTGGAAGTTGCCAAGTTTGGAGACTCCTGGCCTAGGGGCAAAACCCACCACATTTAGACCTACCTCAATCAGAGACCTTGAGTAGGTGGATGTTTCAGTGGTTCCTGTTAAAGTATAAGCGTTTCTCACATATTTGAATTTCATTCAATTTTTGAAATAATTTTTTATTGTAATACAGTGTGAGAAATGTTAGAACAAAATCCACTGAAAATATGTTTAATATATAATAAAATCATAACATTGTACAGGACAGGGCTATTTAAAACAACGTCCCAACTTCCTGCTTTTTCCAGGAATCCAAATTAAAATATCCCTAACAAATGGCTGGTTACTACCCAACTGAACATATCTTTGAATACAATAATTAGTTCCATTGTTAAGTTGTTAATATTCAGAAATTTTACTATTCACTTGAAAATTGCATCCTGTAGTTTAAATCCATTCTTTCCTGTCTGGCACATTGGATATTTTAAATTTGTGAACAAAAAGTTACATATATAAAATAAAACAAAATAGAAATTAAAAAGGGTAGAAGAGAAAAAGAAAATGATAAAACAAAGAAGTAAAAAATGAAATTGATGAATATGAAACAAAAAGTTCAGTTCAGCAGATTAAACCATTTAACATGCGGAGTAGTTTTGATCAAAATTTGCATAAAAACCCAGTTGATTAAAAAAATCCAGTTTATATATAGAAACACGTAAAATCATATGAACGTATATCTTCAGTCTGGATTCAAATCCAGTATAGCAGGGTCAGAAAAAAACTTCATTTTTTTAATGCCAGACCATACACAATCCAGTTCTTCATAATATATTTCATTTATATAATTCAACAATGTATTCACATTTTTACCTCTGAATTATCGTGGCACCACGTTGATAACTTTATGGATGGTAAATCAAGGTCCCAGGATAGGAGTCACTGTGTCCTTCATAATATTCTTTGAGGATACTGAACTGAAAGCCAATATTTGTTAAACATGTTTAAGTAATTGCACCTTAAGATGACAGGATACAAATGTAATATTATTTAAAGTTAATTATCCAATTTTTTTAAAATGAGGTATTCCAGTTCATTGTTTAAGGTTTCTTGCAAGTTTTCAGTTTTCTATTTCTATCTTGTTCAGACATTTGAATTGTCATAAAAATTAATTGTGACTTTGGAAAACCTCGGATCTTTTCCAGTTATATTGTTAATTTCATGTTAAGAATTTAGAACATTTGCATGTTGTTAATGTACCAGTCTGACACTGGAAGCTTGAAAAAAATTAAATTTGAAATATTTTGCCATTCAGCTGTTATTTAAAAAATCTACTCAAAGATTCATATGTATTCTTAGATTCCTATTAACTCTCCCTGTTCTTTTGCATCCTGGAATCTACCGTAAGTGCCTCACATTCCTCTTACACTCTCAGATTCTTCAGCAGGAAGCTGTCACCTAATCAGCCATAGGCATCTTTTCAGGAAATGAGCTTTTTACACTTCACAATACAGCAAAAGGTCTCTTGGAACACATTCTTCTCTTTTATCCTTAGTGAACTGCTCTCACAACCTTTTTATTTTTCACATTTTCTTGCTTAGTAGGATATAATTATATGAAATTTTATTTAAATAATCAAAATATGTATATCGTACTTTTCTACATTGTTTATTGGGAGTCCTGAAGTCGCACATACAAGACGTTACAAGCAAAATTAATTAAAAAAACAAATATCAACAAAACTTAAATCTCCATTGACATAGTCCAATCTCCAATGAACAGAACTAGCTAGAAAGTAATAGAGGGGAGTGGAAATTTGTCTCAAGTGGACAATTGAAACAAAACATTTGCTAGCATTGAAATGTCATGGAGAAAACCAATAATGTTCTGGAAATTCAGGTATGGAGGGAGGTAGATATAAATTTTACTTTGCTAAACCTCAGGAGTATATAAAAATGAAAGGTGTGCTTTGTAGAAACACAGTCCAGGTAATATAGAATGGAGTATTTAATTAGAGGATTAATAAGAGTATTTAATATTTAAATACTCTAGAACAGGGGCTCCCCAACCCCAGGCCTTGAGCTGTTTGGAACTGGGCCACGGAAGTGGTGGTGGGCGCATGCTTGTTTGGAACCAACCCCTCTCCTACCTCTCCAGTTCGCAAAGCTGGAAAGATTGGAGAATTCTACTCTACAGAGTAGAGCTGTGGTGGAGCCGTGATTAGAATGCAATATTGCAGGCTAATTTTGCTGATGCTAGGAGTTTAATTCTGACAAGTGAAGATTGACTCACTTCAGTCCTTCCAAGGTTCGTAAAATGAGGACCAAGACTTTGGAAGGCAATATGCCTGACTCTGTAAACCTCTTAGAGAGGGCTGTAAAACATTATGAAGCAGTATATAAGTGCTTTTGCTTTTGCTATTTTATTTATCAGGTAAAGCTAGGTGGTTCTCTGAAGGATCAAGCAGGTTTATTATTCATCCTTTGTAGGGTACGTAAACAAGATTGGCTACAAGAGAGAGGATAAGGAAGGAAGTTGCTTTGGTAGCTACAGATGTTGTACAGAATGAAAAATGCTGTGATGACAAATCAAAATTGTACCCTAATCCCAATGAGGGATGCTAAATACTCAAAACATAGAGTGATGTTAAAGTCAGTAATGTCTAGACTGGGGGGGGGGGGCAGGGGGGGAGAAGCTGTCTTTATCCATGGAGAATGTGCTTCTCTCACTTTTTGTCCTTCAAAGTCTAGACAAGGGTGGGAACCTGTGACCCTCCAGATGTTGCTGAGCTGCAACTTTTAGCTTTCCTCCTGTTGGCCAAGTTGATTGAGTCTATTGGAAATTAGACATCTGGAGGCTAAAGATACCCCACCCAGGCAAAGTTTGAAACTCATACGCTTAATCTAGAATGATGGAGAGAAAAGCCACAGTTTTAAAAACCCTGCCATGATCTTCAACTCCAATTGTTGGATAGAAAGTATATATATGAATGTGCTGATATTTTTGCAGATGTATGTTATACAACCAATAAGAAGAAGAATAAAAATCTGTAGCGGTTCAACAGTTGAGAATGATTGAACTTTACACAAAGCTGTAATTAATAGAATGAGGGGAAAAATCACTCTTTGTTGGTGGTCCTTTATCATCCCATGACTTCAGCCAAGAATAATTACTTTTCCAATTGTACATTTTAATGCTATATTTTAATCATAGCATGAAGCAATATTGATAGTTTTTTAGATATCTGCAAGCTGTTCATATACAAACCATGCTACACTGAAAACTGAAATCACTTTCGAGTGTCCCTGGGCAAAGTGATAATCTGAAAGGAATGCAGGAGTGTATTTGGAAAAATAGAAGAATAGTTTTATAAAGGTCTAATTCATTTCCCTTGTGTATTTCTGTAATTACATTTTCTTTGCCCAGACCATTATTTTTCTTCCCCATCTGCCCAAATTCTAACAAGGCCTTCCATTTCAACTACACTTTGGGGGAAGTTTGCCGCCTCTCAACAATAAAATTCAGACTATTTTAAAAAATAAATAAATGCCTGTTTTCAATTCTACTTGGCTATTATCCCAATAACAATAACTCTGAATTATCCAACTGAAATACGTAGTTTAAATTATAGCCAAACAAACTGAATAAAAATGTTGAAACACTTTTCAGAGTTTAACAGTTCAGAAACAATGTAGTGGTCTCTTTTATCATGGATTTTCACTGTTTGGTCCTAGCATGCACTTAAGACTGCAATAGAAATTGCAACAGAGACTGAAATTTGTCATAGAAGATAAGTCTTCACACTTGCTATCCATAGCCTTGCTAAATAGTTTTCCTAGTCTCTTTTTTTATTAAAGCTATGTATGATGAATAGGAAAGATACGTCTTTTTCAGAAAGGCTTAATGAAACTCTTTTGAAAAATATCATCTTTCAGAGAAATGCAAGGTTATGATCAGCTATCCTTTTGAAATAGTTTTAATGCATCTTTTCCAAACAAATCATATTATGATTGTTTTAGCATATATAACATCAATAATTCAGATTAACTAATGGGAAAGAATTAGTTATGATGTGAGAGAAGAAATCTTTCCCCAAAGAATAGTAGTCTTCTTTCCTCTCTCTTCTTAAATATAATTCTGGATATTAACAGTATCATCTTGCAAAAGGATAATAGATTTGAATAGGAAATAATTTTCCTAATATGCAAAGAGGTCTATGCTGAATGAGTTACTTAGGTACTCTGTTATTAACAAAACACTGGACCATTAAAAGATAAAACCTTATTTATCTCTGGTGGTTGTGCAGTATCACAACAAGGCCACTTGAGCTCAGCTGCTTTAGTCAAATGAAAGGATTTCCCAAAAGAATTGTTGCGTGTGGTAATTTCATTGTACTAGTGTAATGATTATTGTTCTAATTAAATTGATAAGGAATCACCGTAATGCCTAAATGTATTTGGCATGTAAACTACACTTTTCAGTTTTACACTTGATTATCAAATAGCAAGTATTTGTCTGTCTTAATCATGGATCCAACATTATCAGATGTTACCAAGTTCCAAGAGTTTCTGTAAAGTAGATTATGAGATATGACACTTGGGCTATTTCTGATGTGGCCCATATTGAGTTTAAAAGTTTTTTCCCTTCATGAATTAGCTTTGGATGGTTTCAGTAATCACTTGATATTCCGCAGCAGGTTTAGAAATGAACTGCTAATGATTGGAATTGGTTGCTATTTGCTTAAAATTGAAATTTTGAATGAAGTCCATACAGTTCTTTTCTCCTTCCTTTCCCAAAGGATGTCCAGAGTGGTGGAGCTTAGACTGTAGACGGAATATGTCTTTACCTGCCAAGTGTTCTTGCTGCTGCTCCATGAAAACTCTTGTTGCTCCAGTTGATATCAGGCAGTTATCAGGAAAAAACCTGCAAGGGCAGCCTCTCTTGATCAAGGTAACTTAATAGTATGGGGGGATCTGGCAGATGGGGTCCAACCACGTGGACACACGAAAAGACTTTTAATAAAAGCAATGCCATCCTTTTCTCATCAGACAGGACAGTATCGTTCTTATGCTGAAATGAAACATTTTCAGTCCCTCTACCCTGAATTGACAAATTTTGTGATACAAGAGGAGGCAGCTGAGTTATGGAGCAGCCCGCCCAAGCACCAACCTCCATTTCCTGTTTTCTGGTGAGTTTGAGCTGTTAGAGGTTCTCTGCCTCTCTAGAACTAGCTCAACAGTAGCCCCAGCTGACATTCAGTGACGCAACTTTCAGGAGCCCCGAAGAGCAAGGAGTAGGGATGAGGTGCAGCACTAGAAAAGAGGTATGGTTGCTATCCCCATACTTTTCTTTTTTATTCTTTGAATTATCTTTCTTGATTGAAATGGGGAAGTGGTCCTGTCAATATGCTGATTTTTTTTAAAAAGGGAATTGAATCACATACTAGTAGTAGGCTATGAAACTCAACAGAGCGATGGTTTCCTCTTATTCTGGAAAAATCTCATACTTTAGAGGCTAGACTAAGCCTATGTGGCCTAAGGCCTATGGGGTACTATATAATATATATCAATTGCTTTTTGATGTTTTGGATTAGACTGTGAAGCCTGTAAACTGCACTATGGCAGCATGCCCACCGATGGAGGAATATGGATCGTCTGTCTGTGTAGATTGAAGGCCGTGCAAAACTTTTGACCCATGTTTACAACATAGATCTCTGCTACCTTATCAATAGATTCCAGTAAACGTTTACTGCACTGTTTAAATGATTTCAGGATTCAAGTCCGTCCAAGAAATGCAAAAATTCCAGAAACTTTGAAAAAAAATCTTTACTTTTAAAAGGAATTTTTGGAGAAATTAAAATTTATGCAGTGCTTAATTCTTAATATCTGTTAATAACCCTGAAGTGAGGTTGTACAAAGTGTTCTGTGCATGGAACACCTGGTTTGGGATGATCTGTGGATAGACAAAATACACAAGATTTTGGATGCTTCTTCCGTACAGAATCCTGAACGGTGTTGTTTTATTCCAGCAGAAACTATAAAGTGACTACTAGATAAAAAGTGTTTTGTGTGTTCTGCTGTACTTTAACTGCTATGACTAGATGTTGTCTTTTCAAACAATTTTGAATTATAATAACTGGAAAGTTGCTATCATTGTTGTCATTTTGAAAATACTTCTTTGGATAACCTGTGAGTTGGTTGGTTGGTTATGTATTTATTTATTTTTATTTTTATGTTGCCGATCTTCTTTATAAGGTGAATCTGGGTAGCTTGCAGGTTATAAAACAAGTAAAAATAATTGAAAGATTAAAAGATTAAAACAACAGAGTTAAAATATTAGGACAGCTAAGAACCAGATGGGACATGGATGAGAAGTTCCTACACCATTAGTCAGATACTGAAAGTGCCATTAAAAAGAAAACATGTGGAGGAAAAAAAAGAGAAAGGAATCAAGATGCAGCATATGCATTTTGCCAGAAGAAATGTTATTTAATTGGTAGAGTTGTGTACTCTTAAAAATGATACGGAAAAATGTGCAGGACATCTACAAACAGCACCTGTCCAGGAGCCTGCAAAAAGATGTTACTGTTTTAAGAGTTGCTTTACTGAGTCAGTTATTTCAAGAGCATATTTCTTTCAATCTTGGAAAAGGACATGGCTTCTTTAGTTGATGGAAGGGGCTTGTGTGTGTGTGGTGTGTGTGTGAAGATGTGACCTGTGACTGTGTATGGCTGTCATATTTTTATTCCCCCCCTTTGTTCCCATATAAGACTAAAGAACTTTTTCCAAATTATTTGCAAATTGTGCAAAGAGCTATTAATTATTGGATTCCTATTGGCATTAGCAGGTTCAAAAATTATTATTTTAAATTTTTTTTGATGGGCTTTTGAAAACTGAAGTGTTAGTGGTACAAGCTTACATAATATTTCACAAGTTAGTATGTTTCTTGATTTCATATGATGGTTTTCAATCAGTGACCAATATCATTCTTAACATAATCACGTTATGTAGAATTTCAAATGACATAGTCCAATCTTTCCTCCTCCTCACCTCCATTTTTTCTGAAAACAACAAAAAGTTCTCAAAAAAGGAAAAGGGATATTCCTTCTCTTAATTTCCATTTCCCCCCTATGGGTAAAATGCCCTTGAGTGAATTTATTTTATTGTTTCTGTTCTATGAAGTGTCCCTTTATATAGTTTATTGACCCAAAGCTGGAGTTTTTTTTTTTTTCCTGGCTGTGGAATCTCTTTATTTATTTATTTTTAAGTTGTAGAACCCTAATCAAAAGGCAAAGCTCTACTGATAAAAGATTGGCAGCATTCAATTTCTCTCTCCCCCTTAATTTCTCCTGGAATCCCATCACATTTTTGCAGGATCCTAAGTTCCACTGAATACAGTTGAGAAGCCTTTTGCAAATCTGTGCTTCTTTGAAAATTCAGTTCAAGGTTAAATTCTTTGTTACCTTGTACACCAGGTTTTTTCCTTCATGTCTTTGAATCTTCCAGTGGACATGCTGTCTGGCAATGGGTTGGAAGAGCGTGATGTTTTGCATAAATATTGCAGGACTGTAATGGTTGATGCTTTGAGTCATATCTGGGCATTCCCTATTTGTGAAATACAGTGCTCCCTATCATCCAATGCTGTTTTGTTTTTTTTTAATGATGGACATTTGGAGTGCACAGTATCTCAGTATGAATCATGACAAGTCTCCACACTGGGATTTCTCATGTTTCCCTGACCTCCATTTTCCAAGAATGATGAGTAAATTAGGATTCCCAAAGCCTTTCCCATGTGGCTTTGGTTAATGCTGGATTAGGTGACGCCTTTCTTTGTTTTATTTCTTCAGAATTTAATTTGCTAATAAGAGTGACCCCCCCCCCCCCCCCGTGCGCTTCACAGAAACTTTAAGATTGTATCCGATCTTAGATAATACCAGTCTCTTGACTCCCTGCCTATATTATTTTCTTGGAGAATATCTAAAGTTAGCTAAAGAAGGTCCACTTTCTAATCAAAATGCTCATATTCACACATTGACATCTGATTTGTGTGTGACTGTGCGTGTGTTTTCATGTCATACATGTTAACTTAAGCCAGATATAGATAGCCCTTTAGGATGACTGTTTTGAAGTGGTTTAGAACTCAGTAGTAATGCCATTGTGAGGTGCCTACTTTCTTTCTTATTCTCTAAAATGTCCCATAGGCAAAACCCTCAGAATAAATCTCAGATTCTGCAAGAGATTTTTCCCATCTTCTCTTCGTTGCTGTTTCCAAAGGACATTTCTCTAAAAAGCTGTTTCCTCATCCACCATCCACGGCTTCAAGATAAGGTTGGTGTGCTTAGTATTAAAATATTTCTGTACTCCTTTTTACATTTAGTTTTACACCAGGAACATTAGGCTGAAAAAGAACGACTTTTTCTAAAAGCATTTGTATTCTGTATTTATGTTTAAAAGGCTCTGGTGATGGTTTACGCAATAGAAAAACTAGAGGGCCTCGTACTCTCAGATTAAGAATCAAAAAAGATGTGAGGTGAAAATATACGGAGAGAAAAGGGAGACACGTTCTTAGTGCTAACATTATTCTAAAAGGGTTGATTGGGAAGGAAATGGCTGCCCAGAGAGGGCAGAAGATGTTGTCTTCTTCAGGGAGGACAGTTGGTGTTCTTCTTTCTCACGGAACTGGTATTTATCCTGTCTTCTGTGAGGAGAAAGGAATGGTCTTTAATCCAGTTGGTTATAGCAATAGGAAGAAGAAGATTCCAAGGCTGGGCTGCTCTTTTTTTCTTGTAAGGCAAGTGGTTGAAAACAAGCAATCATACTTGAAACCCAGTAAATAGCCAGTTCTTCAAGCCAGGTGTAATGTTGCTGAGTGTTTGTTCAACCCTATCAGATAAGCAATGGGGTGACAAATTCGATGGGTATTGCCACATGCATATAGAAAAAGGATGGTGCTCTGATTGCAACATTGAACCTGACATTTGCAGATTTTGCTTTGCCAGTGTCACTGGATAGATCAAGCTTTAGATCTGCTTGATTGACAAGATCCTTGAGAGATGGTTATGGGGTCTTCCTTTTTTGGCTCTGGTTTGATGTTGAAGAGGAACTCTAGAGAAGAAACCGTTATCTTTGCCTTCCAATCTCTGAATTCAATTGTATGTTTTGTTTCTTATAGTAAAACTATAAAGGTTTCTGGGTGATAATAAAATGAACACTCCTTTTTTTATTTTTCAGACATACAGACTGCAGAACACCTTTGTGGTAGGAAGTGGTCGGCTCAACTTATATGTTATTCCATCTCTCTTGTGCAGAGAACACTGCAAAACATTGATGGTAGAGCTGGAAGCTGGAGATATTGGTGAGAATTGATACAACAAAAGGAGCTTATCCTAAAAACAGCAAATGCCGCCGCAACTAACTGTTACTGCTGGGGGAAAAAAAAAGCAAAACCTGACTTGTAGCTCCTGACATTTTGCCCTGCTAAATGCTTTAAGCTTTATAACGCAGTAACAGAGAAAATATATTCCATACCCTATATCTATTGGGAAAAAAACATGAACTCTGTATACACTATGTGGTCTTCTAAACTGGCTTTCTACCCTAGAAAACTGCATCTGGCATTATAGGAAGTCTGTGTTGTGTCTGTTGCAGCGGCCAAAAGTCAAAGTGCTGTTTATGGGAAGGCTACACTATAGTAAATAATGTTGCTTCATTGTTGTACAGGGCTGGAGCAGACCAAACTTGATTGATCATCACAGTTCAAAGAAGAGAATGTAGAACTGCTTATGTATAAACATTATACTGGAATATAGCAAAAGTCGGGCAAGCAAAGGGTGGGCGACCTTTTCAGGCAATGACTTTCCATTCTTTTTTTTAAAAAAATTAGATGAACTTTTATCCTCAAAATCTCATAAAAAAATGTTGGGGTCTCACAGGTTTTGGGCCATTTTGGGCTGAGTTGGGGTAAACTCATGCTCTCTAGAAGAGTGTCATGAATGTACTGGTGTTTGTAGAGTTTTGAAGTGGACTCTTGAGATTATTAGGTCTATTTTACTGAAGCCACTTAATGAAATTGTTCCTAGGAAGACATATGCTGAAGTAATTTTTTTTATACTTCCAAAGAAATCTTGCTTCAGTCTTAACAAATTGATTTTCTCTAAGCTATATCCTATTGTTAAGACCAGAACATACACACACACACACACACATACATACATACATAATTTACTTTGTGTAAGATACTGGTGGGTCTAGGACAGGGGTGGGCAAACTTTTTGGCTCGGGGGCCTCATTGACTTTTAAAATTTGACAAACGGGCCGGGTCAGCACAAGATACGATACATATAAAAAACTGCAAAATCTCCACAAACTCAAGTCACTGCACCTAATGAGCCACCTGGTGTCGAAATGCCTGTCATTACAAGTCAAAATCAAATGAATGCAATCATTCAATCATTCACATCAAACCTTAATTTTGTACCAATCTTCGGTGGGCCGGATTAAAAAGACCAATGGGCCGGATGTGGCCCGCGGGCCATAGTTTGCCCACCCCTGGTCTAGGACAACTCCACACACCCAGCTCAGCATGGCCAGCTCATCATCACCAAGTTGCCTCTGCCAACTCATTGCAGGACAACTCAACCTGGCTAGTTCGCCATGGGAACAACTCCTGGCAGGCAGCCAAAGGTAGAGCTGAACAGGTGGGCAGAGATCAGAGCAGCAGCAGCTGGGGGCTTCCCGCCAGAGGGAGAGAGCCGAGTGGGTAAGTGAGCAGGCAGGCAGACTGCAGAATAGCAGTGACACTGGCTGGAGGCTTCCCATTTTCACACTCCCTGCCGCTGCCACTGTGATAATCTCTGGGCCTTTCAGAGTTTGGGTGATTGACAGCGGCAGCGGTGTTCAGACCATTCAATGGCAATGGTAAGGGTAAGTGGTCGAGCGGTGTTGGAAGTCGGGTAATGTCCCATTTTCACATTTGCCGCTACTGCTGGCGAACCGCCTGCGGTGGTGGAGTGTGTAAATATGGGGTATACTTGGCCTCTGCCACCACCTGGCTGCCCCACCTGAACAGCCTGAACACCACTGCTGCTGCATCACACCCCAAACTCTGAATGGCCTGGATCTTGGTGTGGCAGCAGCAAAGTGTGTGTGTGCGTGAAAATAGGTAGCCCCAGCCATCACCACTCTGTGCTCTGCCCATCTGCTCACATGCTATCTGCCTGGCTCGCTCTCTGGTGGGAAATTTCCAGCTGCTGCAGTCAGTCTCTACTCTGCTTAGTCGCTTGTTCTCCTGCCCTGCTCTCCCTTCAGCTGCCCTCACTGAGTTAGTTGTCCCATGTTGAATTGGCCATGATGAATTGTCCCATTCTGGATACTGGCAAGGAAGCTTGTTGAAGTACTTGCATACCCTGGAAATAGAAGGAAGGGATGTTTCGGGACATCATCACCTGCAATAGCGTGTAATAATAAACCATCATAATCTGATGTTATTGTTTTTTTTCCCAAAGGTTTTACTAATGTAGATTATTGGGCAACAAGTTTTAACTCCAGAGGATCTGAACCTGTTGTCGTTTGTGATGGATCTGCCGGCTGAAAACTCAAATGCGCAAGACCTCAATATCACAAAAGATATGGGGATGATACCACTACGGTTCCCAGTGATAAGTTTTGCCTTCTGATCTGCAACGAAGAAAACCGTGCACTTTTAAAAGAACATTTTACTCAAGGCCACTGGCTTACCTTTTCAGGTGTTTTGGTAGAAACTGGGAGATCTCTTTCTCCTAGCTTTTTGTAGAGTAATTCTTGAAAACTGATTCCTGGATTTTGGGGGGGCGGGGGGGAAGTTCTGTGAAGTTCTTTTGACACTGCAGAAGGAGTTGTCTCAAAATATTTCTTTCCAGACATCCTGGAAGAGGTAACATCCGAGCTGCTGATGAATCAGTCTCTGGATCATTGCTTTAAAAGAGAAAACTACTAAAATATCGGATAGGCTGAGAAATTAAAAATGCCTCTTGAGAAAAGCATTTGCTCAGATTCTTACCCTATGTTACAGTTTGAATGCAGGAATTTGACCGACAGCTGCATTTTTCTTTCTTTCACTGTATTGTGATGACACATCTTCAGAATATTCTTTTCAGTGAAAAAAAAAATCATGTCTTTCTACCTAAGAACACAGCATGACTTTAATGTAGTCATCACCAAACTTGTGTGGCTGAGGTGGGGTTTATATGCTTGACAGAGAAAGGCATCCCACAAATACATTTTTCCATCTCTTTTCACGAATGCTGAAATATGTATTCTTGATACTTTTCCCTGGACTAAGTCAGTGGAATGCCAAATCCAGTTTTCCCCGAAATGAATAATAAGAGCCAAATTTGTTAGAGCAATGACTTGGTGAGCATCCTCTTCTGAAAATTAAGGCTTTGAAGAGGGCCTGAGTTGGACATTCTAAATTAGTTACCATTTTAATTTGTTATCATGGTTGAATTGAGCTTGGAAAAGTATTTCTTGAAAGCATTTTCTAAAATTTTGGTTTGAATGTCTCCAGATCTTTTTAAAACCAAGGTGGATAGTGGGCAGAGTTGCAGTGTGGAATGTTTAATGTGTCCCATGAATGTGTTTGCCATTCTCTACGAGCATTAATTGCATTTTCTCTTTCATTAGCATTGTCAATGTTTGATTCTTGATTGCCTTTCCAGGTTTTTGCCTTTCCTGATGGTTCTTGTGAACTCATCTATCTAACATCTTTAGAGGGGATTATTTTCCAGGGCTGAAATTGTAGAGGTGTCTCCCTTGAGTGAATCTTTAGGTTCCTGTTGTGCTAAGATAATTTGCAGATGTGTCAGGCTGAAGTCGGGCCAGCAGTGAGGCTAGTGTGCATATTTGTACAAGTTTATATGCTTTGGGGGATTCTTTTATCAAAATGTAATAAAATGAGAAGCAGAATTGTATTAATTTGTGAAGAAAACAGCTTTAGACAGTGGACTAGAATAATTTCTTTGTTTTTAGAATCTGTGGATTAATTATTAATCTCTCAGCAGAGTAACATAGTAACACCTGTCATCATGATGCCATTTTTGTGGCATAGTGCAAATAGATGTATTTTGTTTATTTCCTTCTGTTTCTGACTGCAAACGCATGACTAATTGGGGTATTGAAGGACTAAATTATGACAATGAAATTAGTCTTTTGGATGGTTAAAGGATTTGGGAATAAATAAATGATAGGACTATGAAACTTAAACTTTTAGAAGGTGGGAACTTAATCTTCATCACTGATGTTTCGCTGCATGCTAAGTGTTTTTATCTTTTTTAAAACAAATTTCACACATTATAATGTCACTTTAGATTTGTATGGAAAAAAAGAAACCTTTGTAATTTGGGCTAAGTATTTTGCTAAAGGTGTGCGTGTGTGCGCGCGTGTGTGCATGTGTGAGATAATAGCTATAGAAGTGGCAAATGTATTGTTTGGTTTTTTCATTAATATTTTCTATATCATTTTATATGAGAATAAGCTCAATTAAGTTTAATGGCACTTGCTTCTCAGAAGGCATGTATAGGTAACGGATGAAAAATCTCATTGTATATAAATATTCTAAGTGGAATTTCTTACTTGATATTTCTATACTTTGGGTGGGCTTTTTTTAAATGAAAAAGCTAGAAGGTTTCTAAATTCTCTTTCATTCATTCTTTTACCAACGTTAAATATAGACCTATCTATCCAGAGAATACTGCTCGCTTTGAACCGCATGTTGGTCATATTTTTAATTTTTATGCAAATAATTTAAAAGAAAAAAAATCCAAAGCATTTTGGATGACAAAGACCACTTTACAAGTTAAAGAAAGTTGTTTCTGCTTTGGTAGTGAAATATGTATATTTAATAGATTTATGTCAGTGAGGCTCACTGTTTAATAATGTGCTGGAAGGCAGGGAATTGATGTCAGTCTAAGGGTCCCTAGATAACAATTTTTTAAAAGGGCAAATATTTCCATAAAATGGTTTGGGTTTTTCTCTCTCTCTCAAATACAAACCAGGATATTGTTAGCATATTGGACAGAGGGTAATGTATCTATCCTACTTTTGGACTCTGGCTTTCCACGTGCACTGTTGTCTTTGGGTTGGCTTTCAGATCTGGGTTTAGGAGGTGCTGTGCATATGTCCAAGTCTCATTCCCTCTGGAGTTTACATCATTTGTTTTCAAACTTCCAGTACATTTTCTCCTCCTTTTCTACAAGCTGCAAGGAATTAAAAGCAGAAGTAATTGCTCAAGAGGAATCCGAGTCCAAGTTTCTGCTTTTTAGCTGATTAAGAGCATTTACTTAGATAAGGCTCTCAGTTGTTTCATTTGGAATACATACTACTATTGGAAGGCATCAGGCAGGCAAAGACTCTCACAGAGCCTTTGGCAGTGAATGAATACATACATATTTGTTGTTGCTATGTTTTCAGCACTTTTGCCACTCTGTTGCATGATATTGATATATATATATATATATATTGGCAGAAAATGCTTTAGATTTCCTCTCTGATATTCACTGTATATGTTGGTCAATCTGCTCTTTGCTTCTTTTGGAGAAACAACTTCACTGCTCTGTTGTGCTGCAGCACTTATAAAACTTACACATTACATCCTGTAGGTAAAGTCCTAAACTAGCATTGGTAGTTTGTTTCTTGGTTAGGTTCAGTGGCCAAGATGCAAATTTTGGTTTGCTTAACTGCATAGCAGTGAATGACATATTTGTCCTTAGGCAAACAGCGTTGAATCGATGAACTGAAGTGATATAATGAGCAGCGTTTACTGAAGCTCACCCAGCCGCCCATTCACATCTATGGATACTTGGGGGTTCAGATCACTATGGTTTTCCTCCTAGATTTCAGTTTTTAAACCTCAGGACCAAGGTATATATAACAAGGGCAAACAAGCTTTATAAAATTTTGTAAACAATTTCAGGGAAATCATACAGGGGTTTCTTTTGCACACAGTAGAAATTGCAGGTACAGATAGTCCTTGACTTACAGACACCGCCCCCCCCCTCCAAAAAAGCCTGTATGTACCCATTTTTGAAGTTACGATGGCTGCATGCACACACACTTTGTGGTCACATGATTGCATCTTGAGCACTTGGCAGCCGGGGTCACCTTTACAGCCATTTGCAGCATCTCAAGGTCATGTGACCACAATTTGCTATGGTTTGTTTTTTTTTGCTGGTTTCTGGCTTTTATTTCCAATTTCTGATAAAAGCCACCCATTGGGGAAAATTGATTCACTTAATGACTGCTGCATTTGCTTAACGAATGCTATGAAAAATGTCAGAAAATTGGGTTTCATCATGTTGATGTTTTGATTTGCGACCTCAGTGACTTTACATCCGTAATTCCAGGCTTAATTATACTCTTAAGCTGAGGACTGCCTATAAATTATTCATATTTATAGGAGACGTTTGCACTTGAAAATAATGGCAATTTTGAAATCTATAACTTTGGCAGAGCCTATGGTATAAGTTAGGGCTGCACAGTTAGGCCTCCCTGGAGCCACTGTTTGCCTACAAAGACAAATCTTCACCAAAAATTCAGCTACCTTTGAATGGAAGGCATTTATATCTCAGAATATTTCCGGTTTATTTTGTTTGTTTGTTTGTTTCATTTATTTGGGAAATGTACAGCTTAACAAAGCCTGGAAGGGATAACTTTTTAAAGAAACAAAATTATCTGCTTTTTACTGACTAAGGGAAATTCTCAAGTTCTTGTTTTAAAATGTGTTTTAATATTATTTGTCCATGCACAGCATAGTGATAATGGGTCTCATTGCTACCATATACAGTATATTATAAAGGCGAAGGGTTGCCTGGGAAGTAGTTATTTGTGTGTGCTTATTGAATACCCATTTGTGTGTGCTTATTGAATACCCATGTAGTCCAAATTATGGAACTTTTCATATAAATGAATGTAAATATGCAATACATGCAGAGTTTTATGAACAATTATAAAGTAATATATTGCAACTTCTTGTAAATATTGGGAAATGGTTGTAAAGAGTGTACATAAATCAGATTTATATGTTGAAAGTAGAGGTCAATTTTTACTTTTTGCAATTAAATATAATTGCTGATGCACTTTGTCCCATATGGCTTTTTTCCTTTGTTAAATAAACAATGTTCTATCAAAAGCCTCTGTGTATATATGCTGTATCATGAAGTATTTAAGTTGGCATGGGGGAGTATGTTTTAGCAATATGCCATCTGCCAAGAAGGGTGGGGGAAACAATTTAATTGCCGAAGACCAGACACATACAACTTGTATATAGGTTATTTGGTTGCCAAATTTTGACTACAACGTTTGTGACTCTGGGATTTTTAAATTAAAGAGGGGCTTAGAAAAAGGAAAAGGAGCATCTATTATAGACTCCTGGAAGTGAAGGATATTTCCTGGAAAAATGTTGTCAAAGCATGGGTGTCTTTGGGGAAGATATTTTGGAAATAGAAGGCAGATAACATCCGTCTTGACATCACTGACATTTTTATGCAAGAATTGGAGATAATGAGAAGAAATCAGTATATATCAACTAAGCTATTTATTTTGTTCACCTTGAAATACAGAATAAGGTATTAATAGTATTAGACTCCCAGCAAATATTAAAATATAATGTTTTCAAATGCTGCTGAAATGAGTAAGCGAACCAATATATTTTTTAAAAAAACAAGGCCCTAATTTCATAAGTCTTTATAAATTTAAAGTCACATTGAGCTGTACCTGAGAAACTATGAGGATTCAATGCAAACTCTGGAACAATAGTGTATCCTTTTGTCGATGTGCCACAAAGGTAAGAGAGTACATTATTACATTTAGTTCCAAGTAAGATTCCTAATCATGAAATTGTTTGCATGTGATAGTGGTTATGCTAATCTAAACACAAAAAATATGCATTATTATCATCACTAGATATGAATTGAGCATACATGAATATTGCACAACCTTTGCCCACATGGAACAAATGAACTTCATTGTAACCTGAATTTTCAGAGCACATGATTAAATTCATGTTATGAAGATGGACTAACGTATTTTGTAAGCATCATTTAAATGGGTAAGGCTAGGTACATGAAACATCCGTATGCATTCACTTTCTAATCAATGAGGATTAAATTCTGCCTTGCTCCCTGCTTCCAAATCTGAAGAAATGGTTGAACATCTGTCTACAATACTAAAATGTTGATCTTAATTGGAAGTATAGTATGTTGTGCTTTCAGAGTTTCAGATAAAATATGTGTAGGACTTGGGGTATGAGAAAATTTCATGGAGAGAGAAATTTCATGGAGAGAAAGCTACTATTGTTTCCACACTTTTCTAGAAACACTCTGTTTTGGTAACCAGAATACTATGAGGCATTTGTGCATCAAATTCTATCTCATTTATTTGGAAGCGGTCTAATCACGATATTTGGGATATGCTGTCATTGAAAGAGAGATGGGAAGGTGAACTTTCAGATTTCTCTAATGAGTAGGGTGTGTTGAACTATGCCTGTATTACATTTCATGCTTCTACATCATGTGTAGAAATACTGCAATTTTGGTACTTCAGTAAGATCTGTTTTTATATATTTATGTGGGCAATTTTGATATGGAACAATATTTACAACAGAGTTCAAGGAGTTCATCTTTTAGGCAAATGAATATTTTTACCATTTGACCATGTTAATCTAAAACTATACAGAAGAGTCATGTGACAATGTTGGGTAACATTGCCATGCACATGGATGAGGCCACAGCTGCCTACTGTGGTTCTTGGCACTCATTTAAAATACCTGTCTTGAGTTGTCATTTTCTAGGATATTCGGAAATAATTGCATTACTGTTCTGAGCAGAACATTCATATGCTCCTAATATGTTTTTATGCATAGGAATAAGAGCCTCATTGAAAGTCTGTCATCTTGGATCTTAGGCTACATTTTGTCAAAACCTAAAGCACATGTGGCTGTTATATAACTGTCTTCCCAGATGTAACAAGTATATTATAGTCAGATCATATGTTCAGGGTTAAAGCACTTAATAATGAGAGATAAATTCTTTATGCATTCATTTTAACATTTATTTACATTAACATTATTCATAAAGGATAAGTTTTCCTGTCTGAGTAGAAAAACGTCATTCTGTAATTGGTAACTAATAGTTCTGTGAATGGTAAGCAACTAGTTCCCCAACCACTTTTCATTACTGGCCTATTAGTACAGTACAATACATGCACAATGTTAACTTTATCCAGGTCCATATAAATGCACCAAACACAAAACAGTAAAATCAAGCTAATTCAGGATCGTGGAGACTCATAGGAAACTTGATGAAATGAAGATGCTTCTGGCAAATTTGTTACAGAAGTATAATAGAAGTATTGATGGAAGATTGTGGTCCAGGTTATTAGAAGGTATCTTTTTGTTTTCCCTGGTACACTGGCGATGCATTAATACAGTGCACTGACACAGTTGGTTTTGGTTTGACTTAGTCAGTTAGGTAAACCCAGCCATTGACAGTTTTGTAAATCACAATTTATGGTTTAATATATGAGATAAATGTAATTATGCTGTATTCAATAAATGATAATTGAATCTAGCCAGCAACAAATGAAAATGCCTTGACTCTGCTGAAAGTGAATGGAAATCTTAATTCACAAATGGTGGCATGCCTTCACTACATTTAAATATGAAATTTTAAAAACAAAATCTATTTTAATAAATCAGGTTGAAATAGGAAGGGAATTGGATTGTCAACACTGTCCCTATGTTGAAACTTCCATACGAGTCTGGGAGAATTGCAAAACAAACATTAGTGAAGCAAAAGAAAAATTCAGGATTCTTACAGGAAAGGGAACATATGGGGCTTTTCATATGTTTGTTTAGAAGCCTTAATGGACATGGTCTGTGTTCATAAAAGGCTGCTAAGATGTGGCTGGTCCAGAAAGTCATTAGGAATAGAATATAAAGTGGAACACTTCCCTGCTGCAAGTAATTATTGCTGCTAGGAATATTTCCTTGAAGTGTCAATAGCTATTATCTAATTTATGTATGTTCTTATTTATATTTTGCCTTTAATTTGCTTACAAATATAAAAATTTAATAGTTGAATGGTATGTTTCTGAAAATAGAACTTTTAATGATACATCAGAAAATAAACATGAGCCAAAAAAGGGTACTGGGATAAAATGTTTATTTCCCAAATACTTTCAGGTCCTAAGACATTGTTGGAAAGTCAGAACAAGTAGGAGGCATGACAGCACCCTACTTGAAGAGAATTCAACAACTATAGAGCAGTGAGGATTATCTGAATTCTTTTCAGTTCAGATTCAGGTCTGAATCTGGGATGGAAGCCACATTGGTCACTTTTGTGGATAAACTGTGGTGGGCCCAAGAAAAACGGAAAGCCATTCCTCTGATGTTAAGTGGAAATCTTGGTTGCCTTCAAGACCATCCATCATGGTATTGTTCCGGGCTATGGAGTTCTCTCTCCAGTAGGCTAGTTAGGGCTGGACTGTGCTATAGTATTGCATTGAGTCTTCTTCATGTGTGTCCAGTTCAGTCATTTGGGAGGAGAAGAAAGATCCAGTTGCTCCATCATGGCATACTGCATTGGTCCTTCCTTTTATTCTATCTCTCCGAAGGCACTGGTGGAGGTATCATCAATATATATGATGAAAGCCCATTATTCAGAGTCACTCTGGGCCAGGAAAGAGGCAGTTGAGATCTTGCCTTTGTTTCTGTCTTACTGCCTGGAGATTGGAGCAGCATATAAATCTAGAAGATGAATGAATAAACCTATCTACTCAAAGTAGGAATTTGAATTGTGCTTAGTAAGCCAGATTTTCCTATAAAAATATCAAACTCCATATAAATCTGTAGTTTGAAGCTTATGTAGAGAAAGCAGCTTAACAAGCAAGCTATATATAGTTTATTAAACCACAGTTTGACATTGGGACATGTTTTTCAAGGTTTGAGGTAAGGGATGAAAGTAGGACTGGGTATAAGGATGGTGGACAGTTTAAACCCCTCCTGATAAAGCCTTAACACCGGTAAGAATTTGTGAGGTTAGATTATACCAGTGCAGGCACTTTGAATCACTTCAGTACTGACAAATATAATTGGGTAGAAGTGGTCTCTCAAATTATCTGGCCCCATGCCACAAAGGGCTTTAAAGGACAAAGGTAGCATATTGAAGTAGATCCAGAAGCGAACTAGAGAGTAGACCGTTTTAGAACAATCCAATTGGGAGGTGACTGAGGCATGAGTGTAATATAAGAAATAGTTATAGTAACAGTTCACAGTTAAGGAATGGCATAACTGGCACACAAAATGAAGGTATGCAAATGCCCCCTTAGCCCTAACAGCCATTTCCTCTTTGAACTCAGAAGAACCCTCAGATTACATTCTGGGGCTGTCGGGATCTGTATAAGCAGAGCACCCAAGACGGCATGGTCCTAGATCTGACAGGCCCCCAAACTCAAATGATGCCTATTGTTCTCCATCAGGCTTTTACGGAGATATATAATTGAGTATCATCAGTATACTCATTCCATGAGTGATGGATGATCTCACCCAGCAGCTGCATGTAGATGTTGAACCCTGCGGCCCACCCACACTGTACAGGCCAGGGGTGGGATCTCTTCTTCCCCATTCCACCACTTACTGGAATTGACCCTGGAGAAAGAAGGTGAACCAGGAAACACAACGCCACCCATTCCCAGACCCTTGACCCAATCCAGAAGGATACTATGGCCGACGGTATCTAAAGCAGCAAAGAGATCAAGTAGGGCAAGGATGAATTCACAAACTCCATTCCATCCTCATCCAGGACTGAATCCTGACTGAAAGAGATCTGGAAAATCCACTTCAAAATCCAAGATCCTCTGAAGCTGCTGTGCAACCACCTTCTCCACTATTTTCCCCAGAAAACAGAAGTTAGATAATAGATAAAAATTGTCCAGTATAGTGGGATCCACTGATGACTTCTTGCTCTGGGAGCAAACCAAGGCCTCTTTAAGAGGTAAAGAAACAAACCCCTCATTCAGGGAAGAATTCACCACTGCTAGAATCCATTCATACACCACTATCACGACCCTGGGCCAACTTGACAGACTGCAGGGGTTCGTAGTTTGACTGGCTTGGTGTTCAGTCCTCCAGACTGTGGGTTGCTGCAGCAGGATCTTTCTGGACTGCCTTCTCCTTTTGGGATTGTACCTTTTTCACTAGCTCCCCTTCAGGGTTTTTTGTTTTTTGTTTGCTTTCCCAAATGTTTGCACACACAGATGTCTTCAGATTGCTTTCCCACATTCTCTAATGCTAATGTAGACCATTTCTTTTTTCTTTCTTTTGGTGTCTCATTGTTGCTCTGATGCCACAAGGATCAAACAAGGAACAGATCACTCCTTTGAACCTATATTTCTGCTGTAGAAATGTTTGTAACAAGTTGAGTTTCACAAATGCAAGAAGAGTATTCATTGGGATTGTGCAGCTTCGTTCCAAAGTGCCTTCCTTCATTGCAACTTAAAAAAATGTAAATAACAAAAAATGGCAAGGGGAAACTTGCAGCACTGTTGGGGGGGCGGGATGTAAGAGGAATATGCTTCACCACATCTGGGCAGAAATGATGCCCACTGGGAGATGTAAAGGTTGAACGGAGCAAAGACCTTCTAGGACAGACAGGAAGACTTGTGGCAAAGAAAGTTTATTTACTTAATAGGCCATTTCTGGATCAACCGCAAGATTAAAAAAAAAAAGCATCTGCCGATTAGTGGAGAACATAACAGATCATCAATCCAGGATAAAAAGGTTGCAGAGGACAGTGACCGGCAATGAGAGGAAGGGGTGTACTAGGTATTGTAGCAACGATAAACCATCCACTTAAAAGGCTTAAAACCTTCTAAGATGGAAAACAGCAGTTTTGAAGTGGAGCTGGGGAGACTCCATTTGCAATAGGATGGGAGTCAGTGGAGGGTGACCTTCATTCTAGCAGTCAGCCAGTGGTGGGTGGCCCATTCTGAGTATGGGACAAGCCAAAAGAGCAGATCTGTCTTTGGGATGGAGAATCCAGGGTGGCCATCAAAAACCTTAGTATTGCCATGGGTCTGGTCTGGTTTGCTGGATCGCAAAAATTGGGGTCGGAGAACTGAGATAGAGGTCATATCACAGTCCCAGCCAATGTCTTATGTATTTTATGACCCTGGCTGTATCCTTATTGGCAGTTCCGCAGACTCTGTGTCTCCTCAGCTGTTTAGCTGCACTCTGACTTTTATGCTCACTAGAACTTAATACAAACATAAGCAAGGCCAGAAAGAGAAAAAGAACAACAATCCTGTCTCTCATCAGAAAATGCAGCTTCATGTTTCAGACTTCATCAAAGTCATAAAGCAATTCAAAAGTATAGCAAAAACACTGCATTGGCAAACACAGGAAAAATACAGAAATTCCTAACAGTACACACATTAAAACATCGTAACCCTCTGGCTGTTTGAAATGTGTTTTGAGGGAGGGGAGTGAATTATAAAGAGGATTGCAGTTTTTAGCATATACTCCATATCTACAATACGCACATGGAATTGGAGCTCATCCCAAAATAAATTTATTTACTTACATTTATATATTTTTTTATCCTGCCTTTATTATTTTTATAAGTAACTCAAGGCTGCAAACATACCTAATACTTCTTCCTTCTTCTTATTGTCCCCACAGCAACAATCAGAGATGGTATTCAGCAGGTTCTGACCAGTTCTGGAGAACCGGTAGCAGAAATTTTGAGTACTACGGAGAACCGGCAAATACCACCTCTGACTGGAGATTTTACAGTATCCTTCCCCTGCCACACCCACCAAGCCACACCCACAGAACCGGTAGTAAAAAAATTTGAATCCTGCCACTGGCAACAACCCTGTAAAGTGGATTGGGCTGAGAGAGATTGGCCCAAAGTCATCCAACCGGTTTTCATGTCTAAAGTGGGACTAGAACTCACAGTCTCCTGGTGCTTTAACCTCTACACAAAACTTACTTCAAGAAATTGGAGGCTTTCTTTGAGCTATTCACACATTCATGGCAGGAATGAATAGAACTCCTTAATATATAAATCCTTGTGACATTCAAGATATGTCAACAAAGTATGAGCTATAAGAATAAATATTGCATGGACATTTTTTTTGTATGGTGAAGAATCTCTGTTAAGTTTTATGTCTGCTGTTGGAAATAGCATAGTTGGGTCTCAAATTAGTTCTGCAGGTTCATGCACCTTTGCACCTGCCTTTTTGATCCTATGGCCAAAATGTAGCCACTATGACATTGGCTACTATGTTCAATATATATGTTTTCAATCTTATTGATCAACCAGATTTTACATACTACAACAGAGTTCCCCATTCTTGGTTTATCCAACTAGCTAATTCTAGCCTAGATTCCAATTTATTTAAGTGTCTTACATCAAGTGTTGCCTGCAATATTGATGGGTCAGGTGAATTTATATAGATCACAGGTGTCAAACTCTCAGTGTCACGTTGCCATCATGTGATGTTTTGCAAAGGTTTTTTTCCTTTGCACAGCTAGGGTGGGTGTGGCCTGTGCATGACGCATCCAGCTCATGGGCTGCAGTTTGACACCCCTGATATAGATGATGGAGAAGGAGACCAAGAGAAGCTTATTTTTAGACAAAGACAAATATATTATGAGGATTTGACATTCTTCTGAAGTGAATGTGTTCTACAAAATAAACCTATTAAAATAATGCTGCTTTATTTTTTACGCTGTGTTCAATCTGAAAGGATTTTCTAATGGAATTTTCCTGAATATAATTAGTTAATGACCTTATTTTGGAATAAAAACTTGGAGCTTATTCATCACTTCTACTAATGTACAAATTGCTTTTTTAAATCACTCCTCTGCTAGCTTATTTATTTTTATAAGTGTAAGGGGTCTATAAAACAAATTGATATTGTATAAGCAGATTATGAATAACACTCATTTTAATGGTTTTACTTTACATATAAACAAGTTATGATTAGTAATAGTAAACCAGCCCATTAGCATTCACCAGATTTCACAAGTAATTGTTACTGCATATTATGGGAAGCTGACAAACCTGATATTGTCTGAAATATCCTTATGGATTTACAACTAAATTCCTCATTAATGTCAATGATTCAAAGATTCATAGCAGAGACTGGATCTACACAATTATATGGTGGATATGCAGAATGCAAATAGACATGATAATTAGACAGTACTAATTATGACAATCTAATTTCAAGATTAGGGATGCTTCCTCTGTAATTATTTTATTTATCTGTCCTTAGCTATAGCGATCCACTTAAGCAAGAAAAAACCAGCCAACCAATCTTTATTTAAATGTAACACGTGCTATGTTTTTTGAAAATAATGCTAGATAGCAAGATTTGTACTTTACGCAGTATTGAAAAACCTGAAATGGTACTAAATTTCTTTGACCAAGGATGGAAGCTAGAAGTCTTTAGAACTAAAACAAACTAAAAACAAACAAACAAACAAACAAGCCATGAGCAAACAAACTATGAACTCTGGATTCATGCGAGTTTCAAAATAGAACAATCGTATCTATTTTAAATAAAAAAATATCATCTGGAAATATAAGCAACTACATATTAACCTTTTTTAAAACCCAAGGTCAGGTAGTATGGGCAGAAGGAGAGTCTCTTATTGAATTATTCCAGCACATTTATTTTTTTGTTCTCGGTTTCCAGAGGATGTCAAAATAATATACATTTCACACCTTTTTCAGTTCAACCAGGATCAGCGCTGTGAATGCAAAATTGTCACTAATATTTTTTCCATCTGAGTACAGGGATGGCAAACCGCAACCTCCATGTAGTTTGCAGTCCGTCATATCCCCATATCTGAAAAGGATTGCCCTATCTTATCACTTAACCTTGCCACATTTCCTGAGCCTGAGAGGAGTACGTTCATTGATGGTCTGAAAGGACCCCAGGGCTGAGTCAGTTTAGCAATGGCTTTGATCCCATTTCTTTTTTCCTTTAAGAAGTTAGTATTGCTGATTGCATCACTACATGAAACCCTTGTGTCCAAAGAGATTTTTTTTCCAATGAGCGAAGAAATTCTGGTGGGCAGTTTAGTGTTAAAAGTGTTTGGAGAAGAAGAATGTGAGGAGAGCGTGTGGAACATGCACGGCTCGCTCCAGTGGGTTAAATTTTAGAGCTAATAATGTGTCGAGCAAAGCTTGGAGCAGCCTGGCCTGCCAAACAACCTGCCCTTTACCAATTTGATCAAACAGCCATGGCTTCTCTGACTGTCCCTGAAGGACCGTTCATCTTCCATCAGTGATCCTATACGAGATGGGTGTGTTCCCTCTGTGGCTCTTGAAAGGCATTTCTAGTAAAAAAAAAGATAAATATCCTCCTTGCAGTTCTTGGGCTTTGGGTGTTCCTTACTCTGGGAAAGGATTTAAAGCTGTCTGCCAGACCCGTGGGCTGTTACAACAAGACAGTGCCACAATGCTGAGCTCAGGCCTGCGGATTCCCCTCCTTTCCCCCCTCCTCCTCCTGCTGTTCGCTGAGATGGAGCTGAGCTGGTCCTTTACAGATGAGGAAAAGAAGCAGATCGTGGACCAACACAACCTGTATCGTTCCATGGTTTCCCCGTCAGCTGCAGACATGCGGAAAATGGTAAGTTTGTGGTGATGGGCTTGGGTGAAGTTGGGGGATTCAGAGATTTCTATCTCTCATCATGAATACATGGCAGCTTTTCTTGAGTGTTATGAAAACGAATTTAAAAAATAAACCCCTTTGGTGTCCCTGTGTTCAGTTGATGAAGAAAAGAAAGGTGAGGAATTTGAATTCAATGACCAGTTAAATGTGACCTTTCAGGACATGCTTTGTGACTCCTGGTCTATTTTACAAGTTAACTACTTTTTAAAACAACTGTGAGCTAATTTTGTGCAAAGGGTAATGTGTGTGTGTGTCTCTGTGTTTCTCTGTATCTTTTCTGTTCAAGTCAATCTGCTCACCTGGAATTTACAGAAAACTAACTTTTCTTTTGGAACTTTTGAATGGAACAATTCTCTGATTCTTACCAAATTCCTGCATTTCATGAATTAAGAGTTATGATAAAAGTATTTTGTGTGAATCTCAGGTAAGGAAGCCAGTGTGGGCCATTGTTACAGGAGTTCTGTACTAAGTTATAATACTAGGGCTATAAACGTCTAAAACGGCTTTCATTTTTGGTATGAAGAGCCCATAGATATTGGATTATAGTTTTATTGAGAAAACATCTTCCGGGCTTTTACAGGTGGGTGATGACAGGGGTATATGTATGCATGTTTTTTCCTTTTAGAAAATATGGTTTCAGCACATGAAATTCATTAGTTGCATGGGATACAAAACAGACCTTTTACACCCCAGTTCTGCTACTGTTCTAGGAAACATAATAATCAAACAGGAATTTGCTATTACTGATTGCATTATTTTCCCTTCTCCATGCCTGCCTGCCAACCAGCTGCAACTTCATTAAGGTTCTGTTTATAACAAGTAGGATAATACTGACAATGTTACTGACGACAAGGTAAATATATTGACCCACTACTTCCCAGTACACACGCACATTTTTGTGTATTTTTTTAACTTTTGCTGTTCAGACTGGTTTCTGCCCCTCTTATTATTAGTATTATTTTGGTTGGAGAGGGTACAAGATACAGATTCAGACTCTTAAAACCTGTGTTAACAAAAAAAGAATCTCAGGATTTGATTTGCTTGGTGGCAATCAAAGGCTGGACATCTCCCAAATGTATTTGTAAATGAAGGCAAACTGTTCTGTTGGGATTTCAAGTAGCCATTGATGGAAAACCAGCAGCACATTTTGAGACTATGGCCATGTTGTCCTGTTGCCATAATGGGATGACAATTGTTTCTGGAGGGCAGTAAGGGATGATGTCACTCTCTATTAATCCCACACTCATGCCTAAATCAATGTCAGGAGACATTTTCCTGATTCACGTCCAAAATACACTTTTCCACGTTATGTCACCTTGAGTTCCTGCCCATTTGGGTTAGTATGCTTCAGTTCATTCAAGTTAACTCGAGCATTAATTGGCTCCTGGGATGAAGCAGAAACACTCCTTCAACTGAAGCAGAGCCTACCATGCGCTTTCAAAACTTTTGGAGCTGCATTTTACTTTGAATTCTAGGATAGCACAGTGACTACAGGTGGTCCCTGACTTATGACCACGATTGAGCCCATGATTGATTGTGGAGGCGTTTATTAAATGAGTTTGCCTCCTTTAACGACCTTTCTTGCCACGGTTATTAAGTGAATCACTGCAGTTGGTAATGTCAGTAACCCCGTTACTGCCGAAACGTTGCTACAACTTTAAAACCACAACTGTAATGACGTGGGAAAAAATATATATCTTAAGTATGGTATTCAGCTTTGTTCAGGTATTTTCCCATGTCATTATAGGTGTGCTTTTAAAGTTGTAGCAACGTTTTGGCAGAATCTCATCAGGCTTGTGGAGACAAACACAATATACAAGCCTGATGATGGCAGATGAGATTCTGCTGAAACGTTGCTACAACTTTAAAAGCATAACTATAATGACGTGGGAAAATACCCGAACAAAGCTGAATAACATACATACATACATACATACATACATAGTCTGGACCCAATTTTCTCAAGCCTTTGTAGAATGAAGGTGACATGAGCACAGAGCCAAGCAGTAAGTACAGACAGGACCTTTCTTTCAGCTGGTGGACAGCTGTATCTACCGAGAGCTTTGAGCAGGTATGAGTAAGGTAAGAAAAAAATATGGAGGGGAAAGCTTGCTAGGGGAGAAATTTGTCCTTTGCCTGAAAATTAATTCAAGTAGAAATGATTTGTGTAGGGGATTTGAGTAATACATTAGACTGGAGTACAGTGAAAGGGCAATGATGGCTGTTTGCTAATAGCTGTGGCTCAGACCACACCTCTGCCTTGCGTTCTGTGTGGTTTTTAGCAGGTTGTTCCCAGGAGTCCAAGTGAACCTGCAATGGAATCCTGAGAATAGAGTCTTTTCGATGACAAACATCAGTAGAAATGTAGCCAAAGATTAAAGGGCCGTGGCAGATTTTGGTGGGCTGTTTTCTCATTCCTTTTACTAGCCTTGAAAGTAGAAGAAATATATGAATTTCCTTTATGGGTTCATCCAAGGAAGCATGTGTTATTGGTGACTTAAGGCTGCATTTTATCTTTGTGATGGAGGAGAAAGATGCAGCAGGTGGATAAATCACATCATAGCATAGGTGGTGCTGGATTTTTCCATTTAGACTCTTGGTTTGGGGAGAAAGTTGAGACTTTGCTTATTCTAAAAATGGTATCTGTGACTTATTATAAAAGAAACAACCTTTCTCAGGATAACATAAACCCCATATGAAGGACAGGGAACGATGCCACAGACTAAATAAAAATAAGGGCCCACCATAATAGTAATGGCAATTAACGCAACATAAAATCCCAATAATTACGTGGTAAAGACACTCTCCCTCCAACCAAAGCAAAGTTCTGAGAAACTAAAAATGTATTGAGACTGTTCTTAATTGTCCAAAGCCTGTTTTAGGTCTTACACTTCAGTATTGAAAGACAGCAGGGTAGTCAGATTTGCATGGGTCATAAAAAGGGCTGTGAAGGCACAAACGCCATATTAGTAAGACAGTGTCTTCCCAGATTAGCTCAGATGTCAATCTGATCATCATACTTTCAGACCATGAGAAAAATGACTGCTCTGAATCAATCCTTTTGTCTTATTAGAACTCTATGCTAATAAGTCTGGCTGACAAGGATATCTGCCCACACCTAAAAAGGGCTGGTGGGGCTTTGATGGCGTGGTCCTGCCATCACCTTGTTGACCCCAGGGGCTGACAGTCCTCTTTTGTTCCCTTTCTTCCCTAAAGCATGAGAAAGACCTCTAAGGGCGCTACATTTTGCTCAAGGGTTTTGTGAATGGGAGGCATGCCATGAGCAAAAAGCAAGATCCCATTGAGTTCAGTGCAATTTTTTGGGTGTGTGTGCGTGCTTTTTGCTCATGCTGATTCCCTCAATTCTAAATGTGCTTGTCGGATGATTATCTTGACAATCTGCATCAGAGTTATTTATTTTTTAGGGCAGGTTTTAGGGTCCCATGGTTAGCTCCTTTTCCTGTTATGAATTCCTATCCTGAGTCATGCTTTTTATTTTGTTTGGGTCAGTAAGTGCTGGTTGTCATGGAAATACATACATTGAGCTATGCTTGCCAAGCCATATTTAATGGAATGAGAAATGCAGCCATTAGAGCCTTCCATTTGGCTGTGAATCACAAAAAGGGGGTAACACAGCCAGCCTGGCTCTACATCAGCATCTCGGTGATTACATCTATGTTCGTATGAGTTTAAAACATTTCATTTGCAACCGTCAACATGCCAGCCTCAAATAGATGTTAGTCTTTAACTTACCACCATGGTTGAGCTGGAATTTTGTTCGTAAGTCACTGGGGTCATCAGTTGAGTCACCCTATCATTGTTTTCACTATGCTTGTTAAGCAAGTTGCCAACATGACTAAGCAAATCATGCAGTTGTTAAGTGAATCATGGAAACATAAGTCAAATCCAGCTTATTGAACACCTTTTGTCAGTTTTTGTTTTTTGCCAGAAATACAATCATTTGACTGTGGAACGCTGCAGCTGGTCAGAAATGTAAGCCAGTTGCCAGGGGCTTTGAGATGTAATCACTTGACTACCAGGGAGTGATGTGACAGTTGTAACTTTGAAGACAGGTTGTAAGTAACTTTTTGGGTGTGCCGTAACGTGGAATGGTTGTTAAATGACTGGTTATAAGTTAATGGCTACTTGTACATTTTGTGCTAGAATTGGAGCAAGACTATCCAGCAGTTGATTAATCTGTTTGAAATAAAAATCTCATTATTTATCCAGTCGATTGGAATAGGCAGTGAGAATGTAACATAGGGGTCTCCAAACTTGGCAACTTTAAGACTTGTGGACTCCCAGAATTCTGGGAGTTGAAGTCCACAAGTCTTAAAGTTGCCAAGTTTGGAGACCTCTGGTGTAACAGAACACATGCCATGTAGCCCACAATAATTCTGTTGCACCAGTCATGAAACAGGGATTTACACAAAGGGAAGGAAGCCAAAGAAATTCAAGATCATAGTCATGATAACTCAAACAAAGTCCTCCACCTTTTGTAACCTCTCTTGCATGCACAAGGCTCATCAAATGGGTGCCTTTGAATATATAGTTGCGGTTGTTCTTTGGACGTTTTGACCACATCCCAGCCCTGTATGTGCAGCAGGGTAGAGAAGAGGCAAAACAAGATGTTGATGGACAGCCAAGAGAGTCTTAGATAAAGACTTTCATCATCTGTCTTTGGAAAATGGCAGCGATTATGTGGATGAACTCTAAGTGGAATGGTACTGTAAAATATTGTTTTTAAAATAAAAAATAACAAACCAGTCAGAACATTTCAGAACAGCTTCACACTATTTTTCTTTGTCTTTGATTCTTCAGCTATGTTTTCATTCATTTATCCAATATTTGAATGTATGATCAAAAGATTAAATTAGACATGTTTAAAAAGGTGGCTTTATTGAATTTGGAAATCTTTGGGGTAGTTCATTTATTTTCTGGTTCTCTTCTATGATTAT